TGCACTGCGAATTATGCTGCTTGGCAGGGGCCATCTCTCCTCACGATACCTGCATGTCCAAAGTTGGACCTAGTCTTGTAATGAGATTGCAAAAAGTAGTCATATATATTCAAAATGTTGGCCTGTGAGCCAGTAAGGCCTGAAAATATTTACCAATATGTCAAAATGCTTCTAGCTGAAAACCATTTCTAAACCATTCGCTGTTTGCAAGTTTAATGGCTTAAGGCTTATGGGCTCATGAATCACCAGCTTTCTTAGCAGCAGCATTTGAAATGTTGATACCTTAGCCTTGAAATAGATGTGAAGGTACCACAGCCTTTACAAGCTGTTATCAAAAGACATACTTTAACAGCTCCCACAAAAGACTGACTGCAATAGAAGTAGCTGAGCAGGATGAAAGTAACCGAACCAACTTAAAGTCATTGTTCATGTCTGTGTTCCATTCCGGTGATTACCCTCCAGCCGGACAATGAATCATATTAAAGGAAACTTGGCTACGTACAGTTCATTTGATAAAAAATCCAGATGACTTCAGGAGCAATGATGAGTATTTGGGAAACTATTAGTCTTATTTTGAATTACTGAATTCAACTATCAGAAGGAAATTTTGGAGAGCAATTCCATTTATCATAGATTAAAAAAAAAAAATAAAGATGGCAGCATTCTTACAATTCCAAGATTTTCAGTTGAGAAGATGAATGAACATTTATGGCAAAAAAATTGTTACAACAGATATGTGTGGAATGAGTATCTCTAAGGTCAAGGAGGTTATGCTAGTAAATGGCAAACCCTGCATTACAGAACTGCAAAAATTAAATGTTAAGCATGCATTATACTAGAGAGCTAACAGGGACGGAACAAACAAATATAATAGCAAAACCAATTGGAAGAAATAAGAAATCTCAATTATGAATAAAAAATAATAATTTCATATACAGTCCTCTAAAAGATACCACCATCAAGTGATTTATCTAGGTCTTGCAAGGGGATATACACTGGGAAGTGTAAAATTATAAGATATGCACATTTTTCATCTACAGCACCCAAGATGGACAGATGAATGTACACATATATATGGTAAATCTGTTTCAATTTTAAACAAAGATATTATGAAAACCTACTAAAATACACTAAATAAATACAATCAAATGCTTATGGCTTTGTTTATCCATGAATAGCTTAAAAGGTAAGGAAGTTATGGCTTGATGTCTTTTCTGAGTATCTGCCCCAATCTATACACACATTTATCCACCACGTCAGTGCAGGTAACTTGCAAATCTGCCTCTTCATGCTTCTCTTCCTGCAGACAGATTAAAATCCCAATCTGTGTCAAACACTTCTCTGAGGATGGCTAAGACCAGGTCAGGCTCAGCCCTACAAACTTTCTGCTCCATCAATATAGGTAAAAATTACTATTTGGCCTATCACTCAACCCATAACTCTTCCTTTTCAGCTCTAATTTTGCTCCAGGCCCTCACATTCAGCCATACAAAAACAATCAGAAAGATTTTGCCATATATCCAAGATATTGTATGTTCATCTTCACAACTTAGAGCTTTTGTCCAAGGTCATCACCTTGCTTACTGAAACTTCTTTACCCAGCTCTCATCTCATTCAAGTCCATTTCATCCAGAATGTCAACTCAATTCAGCATTTTCAGGAATTAATCTGACCATATGAATGCATGAATGCATTCTTCTTTGGTTCCTCCTTGGAACATTCTCACATAGAAAAACACTCTTGGAAGGAAGGCTCCAGTAGAAGAACATACTACTACATATATGAATTACACAGTGCCTGTAAAACCAGGATAGATTAGCAATATGAATAAAGTGAGAATTTGCACACACTGAGGTCAGCCACTGACTATCCTGTCTGTCCTACTCCATATGTTTCACAAAAGCCATCACGTTCTGGTTCCAGTCTGAATATGCTGCCAAAACCCTCCTAACCCTTTCAAGAATGCAGTTCCAGAGAGAAGGCACTTTCAGGCACAGTAAATATGCCTACTGACTACAACACAGGGAGCAATCCTGTTCTCCTGTGAAATCTGTGCAACTGGACTGTCCTTACAGATATAGGGAGCAGTGGGGTTTGCATCCAAGACTGTAACAAGGTTTTATCTCTAGGTAGCCTTCACCTCACTCAGCACAAGTAGTAGGCAGAAATCTGACAAAATGTTTAAATGCTCAAGTAACCACAGCACACTGCAAGCATGTGTCTAATTAATCTGATTAATCAAAGTTTCCTGTTCAATAATATATCACAGAGCTATGTAAAATGAAAACTGCAGCGGCTCAAAGAGAAGCAGCTGGCTCCATTTTATTCAGCTGAAAGGCTTTAACTCTTTTGTCCCCCCTAAGAAAGTGTTTTACCTTGTCTTAGATATCTGAAAATCAGCTTCCTTGTCTAAAGGAAACAATACGTTGTCCAATACAGCGATAAACACCTGACACTGTCACCACAGGTAAGCTATTACTGTGTAACAGCTCTGGGAGTGGGAGGGCGGGATGGAGTTTCAGACACACGTTCAAGTATGTTAGCAATTCAGTTCACTAATTCTCTTGGAGCTTTCAGGAACTTGAAGATTCCAGACAGCTTCAAGTAGGGCATCTCGTCGAGTTGAGTCGAGAGGCCAACAGAACCCTGGAAGTTTACAAATTTCAGTGTGTTTCATTGAAAATACAGAGTAACCCACAGTTATTCTTTCCCTCCTGCTGCAGTTGCAGAGAAAAATCACTAGATGGAGCCGCACCGTCACAAATCTGATTTATGGCCGCCAGAAGAATTGTTGCCTCCTAAAACTGACACGTTCCAGTGCATCCTGATAACTCATCTTCTGAAAGGCGGGATAACATTTACAAACAATTACCAAAGCAAAATGTACGTAGAGAAAGTGATGAGATACTGAATGAAAAAAAAAAAAAAGCATCAAGAAACCAACAATCCTAGTTTTCAAAATCAAATAAATTTTAGAAGTGAACTGAAAGTTATTTCATCTACCAAGACAGATCATATGTCTTGCTTTGTTCTGCAAATCAGAAAGCACAGCAGACTGCTTAGTGATTGACATGATTAGTTGCTGCAAAAGAGATGCAAGAGCTCTGGGCTCAAGTTTTCATAAATAAGGTCTAATACACACTAAAAATGCAGTGACGGGCAAACCCACTTCCCATAAATACCCTGGTGATATATTTAATCCTCCATTTAAGATGTAATTAAAGAAGAATCTTTTTCTTCCAACTGTATTAACACTAGATTGTTTTGCTAGCATAGGAAAATAGTTGAAAAGTTATCATCCAAACCTACCAACACACAAATCATCTTGCTTTCTAGAGATTTACTATGTGCCAAAAGGGAATTTTTACCTGCTCTCATTCTACATCTATGGAGGCCAAGTTGTAACCCACTCCATTTCTGTGTATTCTGGTCTGTATGCAATGCTGCTAATTTCATCTCCCGTAGAGCAACTTTACATCTTGGTTGGGTTTTACAAAATCCAAATATTTCCAACACTTCACAAAAATGAAAACTAAATCCCTGGTCCATCTCCAAAAGGCACTGCAGGGTTCTTTCACAAAAGGGAACAAAAGTTGGATTTAGGCTGACTTTTAAAAAATATGATTACACAGTCAATGTTGGCTTATATATCAATTCCCTCAGCAACGGACTAGGCCAGGGAGGATACCCCTAAACAACAGGCTGCCCTCGCCACTGCTGCTCCTCACCTGGAAGGCACTGCAGAGGGGGCTGAAACACCGGCAGAGAAAACCAGGTCCCATTCCCCTTCTCTTGGAGAATCTTCCTTGACCACTTTCACCTGGAAACTCACAGGTCACAGGACTGAAGTCCCAAAATCCTA